CCACTGGTTCAGCCTGAAACATTTTAATTAATTTTATTGGCTGCAAAAGGCAGATGGAAACTTATCTCTGAAACTATGTCCCTTACTCAAGATAGCACGCGAACATTAATTAATCTCAACAGGTTTGCAGTAGAAATGGGAACAGGTTTGCTATAGAAACGGCAGATCGTGCTCCAAAAATTCCGAAAATCGCGATTGCCAACTTTGTTGTAATTCCTTTGTGTCTCTGTGGACGATCACTGTTTGCCGATAACCACTTTCATTGCAATGGGCGTAAAGCTGCTGGCATTCGGAATTTAAACGACTCTCAATGCTGACAGCGGCCACAATGGGAGAATTTGCACACAATTCTCGTGTTTTTGTAAGCATGCATTGACTATAGATATGATATTGCACTGAATTTATTGCGACCTACAGTCCCTCTCCCGGAGACTGAGTGGGCATGGCTCCGTACTCTGCTATAATTTGGTGGCAGCGGATACCTTTTGAGGGGTTGTTGCCATTTTGGACAGTGTAACCATAAATTTATCTAGCACGGGACATGACGATATTTGGTTCCCGAATGGAAATATCTCACGCAAAACGCACCCCCTCTACGCTCAAATGATGTACGCAGCCACGCCCTCTCTATTTGCGGATGTAGTGTACTATGCAGCTAGGGTTCTCTGTTTCTACAGTACCTCTGCAAATATGAAATGATATCTGACCTCCGCAAGAATTCACGGCGCAAATCGGCCTGTTCCTTATTCGCGCTCAGTTCCAGGTTGACCTTTATGCGCTTGTGGGATGACTTATTAGAAACTAATATTTATTCCAAAATATTCTTGCAATACTGAGTCCAAACACAAGAAAAGAACAACATTATATTGAGGAAATCTACCGACAATATTTTGGGAGCACACTGTTAATTGGGTCTCGTGTTTATATTACACGACAGATGTCCGTAGCGGCGTCGAAAACACCATATGTGTCGCGAGTTTCGCTGATTCTTTATCTGATTTCAGATTCTGCATTGTTTCTCACTTGGAAGAACAAACGAAGTGTTTCTACTGTGATTCTCGCACTGAATGGAGGCCTTACAGGGAGCCGTACAGATTAAGTCACAGGTATTGTTGACATGTTTCGAAGGATTTGTCACAAAAGTAGTGTGAGCTTCTTTTCTACCCAAAGGCAGTGCTTAACATAGTGCAGTTTCCATGAGGTTTTTTCTTCCTTATCACGTTAAAGACCAGGTTAAGTGCTCATAGCACCATATGTTGCGCAGATGAAGCAATTCCTTGGAGGCGTACCTGGGCATGTGGTGGGTTGCCGGCGAAGGGATGGTATTTTAATGCTGAAGTGAATGGGTTCCTCTTTCCCTTTGAGAGAAAGGGGATATTTGGGGTTGTTGACCTCTCTCGGTTTTTCTTGTTTAAAGTGCGCTCGCTATACACCCATCCCACGCTCGCTGGGGTGCACTTTTTCTGGGAAAATTTTGATAAAAGGCTCCGAAAAGGTATAGGATTTGGAGGGTTTTAAAATATGGCAGGCGGGGCGGGTGCTTTCGCGGGGGTCTTATTTTGCAAACATTTTCCACGGCAGGATGTGCTCTGGGGCGAATTATGCGACTTTTTTGCCTTTTGTGAGTAATGCTGCTCCTAGTCAATTTTGTCAGCCCACCTGGTACCCATTTTAAAATTGGTATGATAAAAGCCTTGGAACCAATATCAGTTCAATAATTTGTACTATTCTAGAATAGAAAATGTCGTATCCGATGGTTACGAAGACAAGAACCGCAACTGGTGGCAGTCAGAAAATGGAGTACAGAACGTCACGGTGCAACTTGACCTTGAGGCCGAATTCCATTTCACCCATCTGATAATGACGTTCAAGTCATTTCGACCCGCTGCGATGATCATTGAGAGATCTGCCGACTTTGGAAAAACATGGTAATGACTGGTCATACTTCTGGCTATTATTGGAGCTCTTTTTTGTGTTTTCTAGGCAGGTATATCGGTATTTTGCCTACGATTGTGCGGGAACATTCCCCGGAATTCCCGAAGGACCGCCAAAGAAGCATACAGATGTTATTTGTACTCGAGCGTACTCCGACGTTGCTCCTTCTACTGGAGGAGAGGTTGGTGTGATCTTGTCATGAACTGTTTTCTACTGGTCGTTTCGACTGTTCTCTATACATTATCCCTCTTCTGCACGCACTAAATTTTCGATTTCAGTTGGTTTACAAAGTAATTTCACCCCACATCGCAACGGAGAATCCTTATGCTGATGAAATTGCTAACCTACTGAAAATAACTAACCTTCGATTCAATTTTACAAAGTTACATACTCTCGGAGACGATCTTCTAGATTACAGGCCAGTTTGACCATTGCTTGAATTCCTGCAAATTCCACTGAAATTCAGTAATTTAGACCGGAAATTGATGAGAAATATTATTACGCTATTTACGAAATTGTCGTTCGTGGATCGTGTTCATGCTATGGGCACGCTTCTCGTTGTATTCCTATCGAGAATAATAATGATCCAGCTTTCTCTCGAGCTGATATTGTGAGTGACATTCTTTGATGAAGGCGTTATTTTCTCTTTACGACCTCAATGTTGTATAACCCAAAAGGTCCGGAGGTTTTTTCATAATACCCAGAGATTTCGAAAAAAAACTCGGAAGCTTCTTCCCTTTTGTGATTGAATTCGGACGCAGTTCGATGACAGGTGCGAGGTGGGGACATTTTGGACTTCCAGCACTTTATCGTCTTGTCCATCCCTCTATAAATTTTGTAGAGACCACCTGGCATTTCTCGAAGCATTGAATTTCCATAGAACTACCATTTATAGTGGTGTTCGCCGCGGATGCTAGGGCGTGTCAGACGAGATGAAGTTGGCGCGCTGCCAAACCCGTTCTCCAGCAGTTGTTAAAGAGAGCAAAAGATGGGATTATATCATATCGTTCGTATTACTCGTTTTCTACCACTTTTTATCGCATGCGCGCTTTAATAAGAAGGCGCAGAACGGCTTTGACGGCGTGACACAACTCATACTGCTTGACACGCCCAGCCGTCCGCAGTGGAACAGAGTGTACCTTGGTGGCTCGACGAGATTGCTTCAGCTTCACAAGAGTTCACAGGCTTCACCACAGTGGAGGAGTAGTGAAGCAGTGACTGTGCAAAATGCTGCTCCCCCGTCCTCGAACTTCTTCAAAGTAGGTGTTCCCTTAACGGTAGCCGCTCCATACTAATTAAAGTTGACGAATGCCTAACAGTGAATGTACAAGGCCCCGGAATAATCGGAAAGCTGAGAAAATTTTCGAGCGGTTCTGTTTCGTTAGGTTTTTTTTTGCGCTGTCTGTGCTGTAGTTAGAGCCTCTGAGATTGTCCTTTTAAGACTCCAAGTGGCGCATTATCGAGTTTTGTTTTCATTTTAGACGAGGGTGCTGAGATCCCTGATAGATCTTATACCGGTAATTTAAGGTTCACGGTCGTTGCGAATGTATGCATAACACTGAAGGTCTCAATTGTGAAAGGTGTCGCGACTTTTATAACGACCTACCATGGCGTCCTGCTATTGGTGAAGACACAAATGAGTGCAGAAGGTGTGAATGTAACGGGCATGCTGCACGGTGCCATTTCGACAGAGCAGTATACCAAGCTAGCGGTGGGTTCGAGCATTCTTTCAATGTTCCCTAATAAAGAGATTCCACCATATATACCTCTCCTTTACCTCTGATGCATTCCTTTGATAACTTCTTTCTGGTGTTGGAGAGGTATATATGGTGGAATCTCTTTATTATGCCTGACGTTTCGACACGAGGTAACCTACTGTTGGAATTTCCTGTCGTTGTAGTCTCTTGGCCAGAGCTGCAACTAGTCAGGGCCCGTGTTAAACAGGACAGGTCGTATCTCCTTTCGGTGTGCTTTCAGGCCTTTGAAGAACGACGAGATTGTCGAAACATCAGGCGTAATAAAGATTCCACCATACAAACCTGTCCGGCATAAGAAAGAAGTTATCGATCACATAAGTTCATAATGCCCAGGTTACATGAAAGGAGAACATGGCATTCCTTTGAATTTTTCCAGGTTTCCAATCGGGAGGTGTTTGCGACGATTGCCAACACAACACTCAAGGGAAGAACTGTGAGCAGTGCAAACCGTTCTTCTATCGAGATCCTCAGCGTCCTATAACTGATCCATACGTTTGTCTACCGTGCAGCTGTGACAAGGCAGGGTCCCAAGACGATGTGGGTAATTCAAAGGCTTAACAGTGAATAGCTTAGAATAAGTGTCAAGTATTACATTTCAAGTGAATGTTTCAGGGCATTTGTGAAGGTGAGGAGGATCCTGAGCGGGGTCTTGTAGCCGGCAAGTGCTACTGTAAGCCGAACGTTGATGGTCCACGGTAAGTGCACCTTGCCCTATTTGCTACCATTTCTGTCTATTTTTCATTCGGGGCGCATCCATGGGAAGCTTTGTTTTGCTGACATGTTTCTGTGGATGCTGAGGTGACAGGAAAAGTATTTGCATATTATTTCGGCAATAAGAAGACCCTCATTTGCGAAGGAATTTTCTAATGACAACTGCTGTTTGACGCCGCAGTTCGCACTCTCAAACTTATAGGTCCAGGAGGTTATGGTCCCTGACTTTTGCCTGTGACTCAACGTTTTTGTGATATCTTAACACACACATTCGTGAAACTGGGACTTCTTCTTACACTTTTATGTTATTCAAGTCAATTTCTGTTTTTCCTCCATATGATTAACGGATACGTTTTACTTACTTATACGTTCTCCGTTATGTTATAGCGTTTGAAACAATAGATGACCCGCAAAAGAGGTGATATGCTCATACGGTGGCACTGGTTTCAGATGCGACCGATGCAAGAATGGTTTTTGGAACTTGCAAGCATCTAACCCTGATGGATGTACTGCTTGTTCTTGCCATCTTCTTGGAACGTATAACAATGAAGGATGCGACAAAATGACAGGCCATTGCACATGTAAACGCCTTGTCACCGGAGAAAATTGCGATCAGTGTTTGGTTAGTTTGATTAATCTAGCATGCACAAAGGGTGACTGTGTGCCACGGCACCTGAGGGTTCTGGGTGCCAAAATTAAGCACTTTTCGCTATTTAACAGCTGATAATACGAAGTATACTCGAGTTAGCCATCACGCAAACGTTCATGTTAATACTTTGCGATTTGGCATAGACATGATCATCTTAATCCTTCTGCTCTCCTGGTCCACATCCCAGGGCTCTGCTCTTTCTCATGTTCAAGCGCATATCCTTTATTTTCAAGCCTGAACACTACGGCCTGTCCGAGGACGTCGATGGCTGTAAGGCGTGCGATTGTGACATTGGAGGATCATTGAACAATCAGTGCGATCTCGTTACTGGACAATGCCTTTGCAGAGAAGGATTCAGCGGTCGAAGGTGAGTTTCGTCTTTTCACATTTTTTTGAAGTAGAATTGTTCCAACCAAGCTCATAGTTTAGGTGTGACACTGCGGATTCGAGCTACTACTGTGCCAATATCGATCACTTCACCTATGACGCGGAACATGCTCAGCTCACCAACGTGAGTCGACTTACAGATTGATCTTTTCCTTATTACTTACTACTTTCGCAATTTTGTGAGCATTTTCAGGCTGAGATAGAGGAACGAGAAGCTCCTCCACAAGAGACTGCAATGACGTGGACCGGATCTGGCTATGTTAAGGCTAACGAAAGAAGCGCGATAAGTTTCAGAGTGGGCAATCTACAAGTCAGCCAAAAGTACCACATCATACTGCGTTACGATGCCGGCAGGGTGTGTTCGTTTTGTCTAATGTTTTTCGCACTTCCTCTATAGCTTGTACTAGATTAATTACCTTAAATGCATTCTAAAAAATTCTATGCTGCTTTTTGCCTATTATAGTAGTTGATCCCTGTTGTTTTAGGATCCCGTTGGTTGGGAAAATGTACAAATCACTGTTGTTCGACCAAGTGAGCCCAGTGGAGAATGTAGAGACAGCGATCCATCTGACGACTTCCTAATTGCTCGGCTCCATCCAGGTAACTTTCACGAAAATAGTAGGTCGTTCGGATGTAAAGCGTATTGGAAGAGTGGTGTGGTCTATGTAGAATTAGAAACAAAGAAGGCACTATTTACCCTTTACTGCCCCAACTATCCAGAATTGAACCAGTTTATGACGGATGTGATATTCGTGTTCAGGAGGTCAGACTACCCCTGAGAACAAGTTTTCAGCGAATTTGGTGATTTAAGGTATTTTGGCGCCGGCGCCTGTGGCGCGGGCGCCAGGAGGTTTCGTGCCTAGCGGATGTGATATTCATGTTCAGGAGGTCAAACTACCCCAGGGTACAAATTTTCAGCCAATTCTGCCAAGGCAGAAAAAAGTCGGTCAAAAACTGGCCTGTTTTTGGAAGATTGGGGCAGTAAAGGGTAAATAGTGCCACAAAGAAAAACAAAATATTGGAAAAAGAATACACTCCGAAGCAGAGATGATCCGTTTCCGAAATCTGACACAGCAGGCGGAACACGAACTCACACCCCACGCCTTCCTGGGCGAGTGCGCTATCCGTTACGCCACCAGGAGCGCTTTTACCCCTCAGCTTGATGGCTATTATGTCGTAGCCTTAAAGCACTCACGCATTTAATACGGTGACCTGGTCAGCTGTAATCGTTAGATTTCGGCAATAAACCGCGAGAGTAAAAGCCTCATAAGAAAGTCGGCATGGGCTCAGAATTTTTCCATAACTAACATAACTCAGCCTTCGCTTGATAACTCACAAACTGCGGCGTTAGACTTTCACCAAAGTAAAACACCCTCAAAAACTTCGGTCTCGCGGTTCATTGCCGATATCTACGATTATGGCTGACCGGCTGTTAGATGTGCCAGTGCCTAATGCTACGGCATAAAGCCTTCAAGCTGAGCGGGTAAGAGCGGCCCTGGTGAGGGAACGGATAGCGCATTCGCCTGGAAAGAGTTAGGTGCGGGTTCAAGTTTTCCTGGGGTTCTCACTTTTGCTTATAACTCTGTAATCGTTTGATAACTTTTGGACCGCTAACAGTGGCGTTAAACAGCAGTTATCAGTGTCAGCTAGTAGCGTGTACTGTTTTCAGGAGGTCGTTACGTAGAGGTTCATCCTGCTGTATGTTTGGAAGCAAATGTAGAATATGAAATTCGTGTGCAGTTTGGAGAGAAGCGCACCGGAGTTCAGGATCGGTAAGCGAACCAGCAAGGTATTTTTCAGTTCTGTAACTACTAACTTTCGTTGTTTTAGTGGAGCATCGGTGCTGATAGATTCATTAGTGCTGGCACCGCCGACAGACTCGTTACTCATCTTCCAAGGATCCGATCGCGCGCTGCAACACAAGACTGAGTATGATCGTTATCAGTGTCGCAATCTCGTATTATCTCTTACTCCACACGAAATGCTGAGCGAGGTGAGCTCATTTCACGACTGATATGCCATAGAATTTCATCGTTTTTCTTTACAGACCTGCGAGAGATACATTTGCCCCGTCGCCGCTGCGGTGCTCAACCGTACTAGCTCATGTGATTGTGATCCAACTGGTTCAGTTTCCGGAATTTGTAACGTCAAGGGAGGCCAATGTGAATGTAAACCGAATGTTGTTGGAAGAAGGTTCGAACTTTACTCGTTTTTAGTTTCCCTCGCTTTATCTTTCTCTGTCTTCACATCATGTACAGATGCTTTTTCGATAGGGTACCCCAGTTTTTAAGCAACACAAGCAGGTACTACTTTAGCCTGACAAAAGTATGTGATAAGACGCTACTCGCTTGTGTCAAAGCTGTGCCCCGTCCTCTGTGCCATACTGCATTCAAAATTTCGAAAAGTTCCCTTTTAGTGCGGTTTTCCGACTAGTTCTCGCTTCTCTGGGTAGATTAGGTGATAAGGAAGTAGGTGGCAACAAGTAAAAACCTTTCCGTCTACGACATTTCTCCGCCCTATGCACGTTTAAGGATGGCACAGTATGGAGTTCTACATATCGGTGTTTCTTTCTGCTTTTTTTTCCTCAAGTACTGTGTTGATTACCACCCCGTCAGATTGGTATTTTAGCAGCACAACTGACTATTTTTGAACGCGGAGCGTGCCTTTCAGAAAAAAGAGCTGTTGCCGTTATGTTGCCAACAAATGAGAATACGTGCAAACACGCCTCCTCTAAGCAGACACTCCATTACACCCTAAGTACAGATCAGCAGGGGGTCATGTCTACAGCATTTAAAGGCAGTTGGCACGATGGTTTCCTACTTAGCCTAAAATGCTAGTAGGGCGCTGTATAGTGGGAATGGCGAAAGAACGGAGTGAAACGGTCAAAATCCTGCGAAGAAAAAGCCTCCGTTCTCAGTGACTTGTAAATCGATTTCGGACGAGTTTCCCGTAGGCATCTTACCAATCACCGCTACCGAAGATACGGCTGCATATGTGTACCCATGTATGCATGCAGCATCACGGCCGCTTCATACCAATCCCTTCGCTTCATAATTTGCTTAAATGAATGAATACGAGCGTCAGGAACGGTCGTCCATTTGTGGGTGGGCGGGCGTTTGGGACGTAAGTTGTGGCTTGATAGGGCCCTTATAAGGGCACCTTCCTCGGGGAAACCGCTATGCAGCGCCTGCCCAGGGTCGCGGAATTCTATCCTGCCGAGGGTATTGATCCTAGTCGCCTTGAGAGATTTATCGTGCCAACTGCCTTTGAGAAGAGTTCTTCTCTCTACTGGTCTCTGCCTTTTTACTGGCTCCACTATTAGAGCTCCACTACCCACTAATTTTCATCGCGGGAGGTAGCTTAAAGGAAGTACTTTTCAGGTGTGACCAGTGTGCCGTCGGAACCTACGGCTTTGGAAGGTCGGGTTGCACGGAATGTGCCTGTGACTCCGTTGGATCTCTCCACAATCGCTGCGACCAACAAAGCGGGCAGTGTGTATGTCGCGAAAAAGGCATTTACGGACGACAGTGTAATCAGTGTCAGCCAGGATTCTGGAGCTTCCCGGATTGCAGGGTGGGTTCTTTTATTCAGGTTTGAAATATGTGTTGAATTCTGTTAAATAGAGAAAGCCAAAAGCTGAATGACGAGAAAGGCTTACTAGTACCTATATATTGGTTCCAGGTATGTCAATGCAACGATCATGCAAATATATGTGATCAACAAACCGGAGCCTGTATAGAATGTCGTGATCTTACAGCTGGTCACTATTGCGATCGCTGCCAGGATGGATACTACGGAGATCCCCGGTAGAAGACAATTTCCATAAATTTCGAGATATCCCAAAAATTTCCCATCATTTCAGACTTGGTGTGGGTCTTCCCTGCAAGCCATGTCCTTGTCCTGGCGGTCCAACTAGCGGTTTCCAGCACGCGGACACCTGCTATCTACAACGAGCAAATAATACCCAAGACGTGGTTTGTAATTGCCGGTATGTGAACATTTTTTATCTCAAATATTTGAAATATCTATATTTTGTCGATTTATATCTTATTTCTAGAAGGTGTATTATTACAAATCAAAGGTTAGCTTTATTGATAAAGACTCTTGTTTAAGGTCTGGCTATACGGGAGAGCGTTGCGCTGAATGTGCAATGAACTATTGGGGAAATCCTACAGAAGTGGGCGGTTCATGTGAAAGATGTGATTGTAATGGCAACATTGACATGACGGTAAGAGAGCGTTTTATGTAGCATTAGCCTAGGTGCTATACCATCCCGAAACCTATTTGCAGGTAGAAGGTAGCTGCGATCCGGCAACTGGTGAATGTCTGAAATGTCTTCACAACACGGAAGGCGTGATGTGCGAGAATTGTATGGATGGATTTTACGGTGATGCCAAACTGAAAAGTTGTCAAAGGTGGGTTTTCGTCTATTGGATATTATCCCGAAGAGGATATTTTGTACCTTTCACTAACTGGGCTTAGTTTGAAGTGAATCAGTCAGATTCTCACTTAGTACGATGAATGTCATTTCGAGCGAGGCTTCTACTAGATATTAGTCTAGGAAATACTGGACTGCCGAAGGCTCACGGTTAATCTCTGTGCGGGCGCACGGTAGCGTTTCGAGCTACGCCCGCGCCCAGCGACGTTATTGAAAGTATAGTATGCGATCTGAGCGCGTCTGCCACAGCGTAAGCCAGCGACTAGGAAAATATGGATATCGATCTAACGAGCACCAGCGACCACCAGTGTGTGCTTGCAGCAGCGTTTTCGCAGGCAGTTTTGTCAAAGCTCATGCTCCCGAAAATGCTTGCTTCCGGCTGGACCATTTATCTACAGGGTTGACCATAAAATAGCGACAAGGTTTTCACCTTATATCTCAGAAAGCAAAAGTGCAAACGAGTCATGAACATAACATTTATTAAGTAACAACTGGTACATTAACAATCATAAGTTACTTCTCGATTCGGCCACCTTTGGCACGGACGACAGCGCGGAGTCGCTTGGGAAAGGCGTCGATGACCGGACGCAGGAGTGCGTCGTCGATTTCGTCCCATTCTCGGATGAGCGCTGCCTTCAGAGAATCCAAATTGGGGTGGGGAGTGGCGCAGGCCTTTGCTCTCAAGGTAGGACCGCCTAAAATAAAAAAAAAAAAAAAAAAAAAAAAAAAAAAAAAAAAAAAAAAAAAAAAAAAAAAAAAAAAAAAAAAAAAAAAAAAAAAAAAAAGTCCAGTGGGTTCAAATCCGGTGACGATGCCGGCCATTCTTCTGCCGAGATGAAGTCGGGGAGTTCGCTCTTGCACCACGCTTGGACGACCTTGGCCTTGTGGGCGGGCGCCGAATCTTGCTGGAATGTCCACGGGCGGCCGTTGAAGTGGGAATTCGCCCACGGGAGTAGAGCATCTTCCAGAATCGTCTTCAGGTAGTAATCTTTGTCGATTTTGACGCCGGGGTCGACGAATATCAACGGCGTCTTCCCCGAGGCACACACCCCTGCCCAAACCATGACTTGGGCAGGGTGTGCGGCCCGGTGAACGACTCTTCCTTCTTGTCGGCTTCCTCGGCATTCCTTGCGATCACTCTGACGTTCTGAGCGTTGAACTGCTGCTCGACGGTGAAGAGCTTCTCATCCGAAAAGACGATCGAATGGTGGCCCTTGTTGCGCGTCCGAAGCAAAAGCTGTCGGCACTTCTTGACTCGCGCCTGCTGATTCGAGGCGCTGAGGATAGCAGCCTTCCGAGTACGGTAGGGGTACATCTTAAGGTCTTCGTGGACGACCCTTTCCATTGACTTCCGCGAGATTCCCATGTCGCGAGCCATCGTCGAGATGCTCCGAGTCGCGTTTCTTGCTATCCGCTTTCTGACGGCCTCGACGACCTTCGGCGTGCGAGCAGTACGAGGTCTTCCACTTCTTCGGCGGTCTTGGAGTCCACCAAGGTCTCGATAACGTTGGAGTGTGCGATACACGACGCTGCGCGATACGATGACCGAGGTGCTTAGCGATCTGCGTGGATTGGCGGCGGCCTTGTGCAGACGAACGATAACGCGAACGCAATCAGGAGTGAAGGCTTCCACCATTTCAACTATGAAACGGAAGCAAATTTAACCAATTTTCAACTGGAGCTTAGAAAAAATGATGAGCATTAAGAAATCCATAAACTGCCGGCGATATGTTGCGCGGATAGAATGTAATGCCTAACTGGAGCAAGTCTTGTCCGCTATAATTATGGCCAAACCCTGTATACTTTCCTAGTCGCTGGAGTACGGCTCGAAGCGCTACTGTACGCCGGACGCAAATTATAAACGCCAGCATCTGTGTTTGTTCTGGTTTTTGTTCCTGTTATTGTTCAAGGCTTGGCCTTTATACGCTACTGAAGTCTTCTCTTGTTCAGGTGTGTATGTAACAATCTCGGTACCAACTCCACTACTGGTTCATGTGATCGAGTGACCGGGCAAGTGCCCTTGTTATCCGAATGTTATTGGAATGCAATGTGACCAGTGCGCAGAAAATCACTACGATCTCAGCAGTGGCCAGGTGAGCATCCAAGTGCTTTTAGTGATGTCTTTGTAGTTACTGAGGTCTTATGATTAGCCGTAGGTCCCAATGTTGTTGTGAGGTAATAGGTACGTCGAGCTTCCAACCCTCGACCGTAACTTCTTTGATTTATGTGTGCTCCATAGGCCTTCTTAGAAAGGAGTCCGCCATGAATAGCTCGTCCTTCTACAAACTCCTTCCGTCTATTACCAGGAGGGCTCAGGCTGTAGTTGTCGTTTCCCAGACTCAAAACTACTCTTAGAGGGATTTTTTTTTCGCTGCCAGAGCAGGACTGCTTATTTGCCACTTAACGAAAAAGCATCCAACGCTCTTTTGCATCTTTTAGAAAGTCGCTAGCTAAACAATTGCTCTCTCTGCATGAGTTATCGTTTTTTTTCACTGCATGTTTCCTTGTTCTGGGTTTTGTATTCTTTTTCGTGATTTTTTCTGACGTTGCCTTACACAACGTACTGAATAAAGAATAAAGAGAAGGGTATCAAAGATTTAACTAGTCAGAGACAGTAGGCAGCATTGCTGGAGGCGGACGGTTGCCGCCGAAGTTGGTGGACCGGTCGAAAGGCGTTCACGCCCCATTAGTCTCTTCCAACAACCGCAGCGGTCGTACCAACTGCTCTTGAGGGGCTTGCTAGTTTTGTATCACTATTAAAATTAGGATTTTCTTCCAGGGATGTGCTGAATGTAACTGCGACCCCAACGGTGTTGCACTCGATGCGCATGGATCTCCTGAGCTGCAGTGTAATCAGTTTGATGGGCGATGTCGTTGCAAAGTGGGACGAGGAGGTATGTGATCCACTTTGTTCGTTCATTGTCAGATGTTTTGTTGGTACAGCCATCATCAATCGTAAGCCCTCTGAACGCAGCATCAGTTCAAACTCTTGCTCTTTCTTGTGATACTTTGCTGCTGTCGGATATTGCAAAGTAATTAATGGTGGTTGTTCAACAGAGATTTATTAACACATCAAGTGGTTTAAGGCGAGTTATTAACTGCGCTGTACGGGCTGTAAAGTAGTAATGCATGCTCATATTTTTGGAGCCCATTTCCTCTAAGTTTTATAAACGATTCGGTAATTAGGCGTGATCTTCGTTGTCCTCAACTGTAAGTAAATGTAAGCTCTGTTTACAGGTCGTACATGCTCCGAATGTGAAGATTACTTTTGGGGTGATCCAACAACATCGGAGGGTTGTAAAAGATGTGAGTGCAACCCGACGGGATCTGCTAGCCAACAGTGTCACCGCAACAATGGTACCTGTGTTTGCCTACCTGGATCTGGAGGTAAGTAAAGGTTTTGAGGTTATAAATAGTTATAGTTTATTCAAAAAAGTATACATTTACTACATTTTAGGCGATCTCTGCGACGAATGTGCACGTGGATATACTGGAACATGGCCTTTCTGCCAGCCATGTGGGCGAATGCTCCACCCTCAGTGGCTATTCTAAGCATTACAAGGTCTGAAAGGCGCAAGGTCGATAAGCTCTCATGACGACCGCGGGAATATCCGAGGACACCGGCGTTGCATCTGCCTATGACGAGGAATTTGAAAGTATGGAGGCAAAGTTGGAGGAGACAAAGAAGAAGCTCTCAGACGCCAATATCAGCAAGGAGCATATAGAACAGCTAGAGAATGAGGTTGCTAAGCTCAAGAAAGAGGTGGGTGAAAGAGGTTGATTACACGAGTGTTAGATTCGTTCTTTTGTGAATGCGTATTACCTTCTATAGGTTGGCGCCGCTCGTGAGAAGTTGGATGGCATCGAGGCACGCGTTTCTAACGCCACTCAAGCTGTAGACTTTGCTGAAGAAGATCTCAAGCAACTACAGGCAGATGCAGTTCGTCTTACAGAAGCCGCAGACGATTTGCGTGACAGGACTATAAGATCAAAGAGGCTGATGTACAGCGTGGGTTACGTGACGCAATTGAAAATTTGGATTTTGCAGCATCGAATAATTGTGAGATGCGTCTTACTTGATAGCGCCGCAATATAACAATACTAGAGAGTCCGGCCAGCTCGATCATGTGGCTGTGCACTCAACGGGACCGACTTGATTGAGCTATCGGCAAACTTGGCCGAGGGCAGCAAATGTGAATGCAGTCGGTGATGGCGGGAAGGCTTCTGCTGGAGAAGAATCGCCCGATGACTTTAGATTAAGCAGTATGGCCAAGAGAAAGCGAAGCCGCCGTTGGCCGAGACGTGAGCAGGAGCGGTAAGTAGGACTTTCAGCTAGCTAATAGTCGTTTTGATAGGCTGGCAGTCCAAACTTTGCTGGGCAGCGACCAAAGAAACATGCGGCAGCCGTTTGGACGTGCGAACGCGCAGGCGCCAGCGACTTAGCAAAAGTGCTAGATATCGATCCATTTGTTTTGCCAACGTCTACTAGCGGTCCAAAGGATATGGACAGTCGACAATATGGGAAGTAGGAGGCGTAACTGAACAGCTCTATTAGGCGTTTCAGTGAGCGTGCAAACCGCCACCGAACAACTGGTAGAAGCACTTATATTCACGCACTGATATTCGGTGCCGGGTCTGCCAGTTGTACTGGATTAGCGGATTGACGACATGCAATTCCAATTTCAACGATCGAAATCCAGCACCCCGGAATGTCTGCCTACCCTCTTACTTTATTCGTCACTTCCTGGACGCTTACTTTGCGGCCGGTGGATAGCTGCTCGCAAAGTATCGAACGACTAGCCGTTATTCACGGAATCACAATAAGCTGTTGACTCTGCCGATGATTCCTTCGAAGAACGATTAGGTCATATAAACCTCTTTTTCAGTTAGACATTGTTGGGAATGGACAAATCTGCATTACCAACGTTGAATGCAGAAGTCTGTGGAGCTGCATCTGCTCCCTGTGATGCTCTTTGTGGCGGTAGGTTTTTCTTTCTTGTTGTCACTGCGCTCAACTGTGCTCTTGTTCTGTATATCATTTCTACTTTGGAGTGGTTTCTTGGTTAAGGGAACCGTTAAAAAGTATTTTAAATCACAGGTCCCGGGTCGTCGTGCGGTTTTTGTGGTGGTCAATCGTGTTTGGAGGGAGCAGTTAGTAAAGCAGATCAAGCAAGGAGCTGTTCTTCTCTTGAAGCGTGATCTGAAACTTCAACGAGAAGCCACACAAAAGAGGCAGAAGAGGTGATTGCATCAGATTTTTTTCTCCACGTTTAGTTGGTAATTGTCTGAAAATTCAGGTGTTAACCCTTGTTAGAGACGTGCTCCATTCAACAGCAGCCGCTAAGAAGGATGCCTTGGCCGCATTAGAAGTCGCACGAAATGCCGCTCAGAAAACGAATTCATCACGTGCTGAGTTAGATCAAATTGTGTTGACCAAATGATACCTTCTTGAAAAGCTCAAGGTAACCCTGCCTGCCGGGTTCAACTATTTGGAAACTGAGACAGTACATATATTTTCAGGAGTTCACCTGAGCAGATTAGAGCTTTAGCAGAAGAAGTGCTCGCGAAGAAAATCAGTCTCACTCCTGAGCAGATAGCTGATTTGACTGCAAAGGTTTCTTAGCAATTTCTCCATTATTTTTTTCAGTAAATTATTATTATTATTATTGAGTGATTCATCTATTTGAAGATGCGACGACTCTTCTCCACGGAATAATCCAATCCAATATTGCGCTCGCTATTACTCGCCGCAGAACACGGGGGGAAATGTAAGACCGTAGCCAGCTAATCTTGAAGCTAAGGTAGATTAATGCATGCTTACCAAAGAGAATACTTAATCACTTAATTTAATCTATATTCCTTCCGCAGGCGCTAGAAGCAAGTGCACAAGCTGCCCGCCATCAAAGAATACCACTGTAGTACTGGTCAGGATGAGGCAAATTCCAAGTCGCTGAGGAAGCACACAGCTTGCTGCGACTGGAAGCCTATCCGATATCCGCTGCCAGGCAATGATGAATGATGGGCCAGGTATTGAACCGCATTTGCTCCGGCGTTTATTGGTCCTCGTTGGGACTTTACGTCATAGATGACCCTGGATTTAATTTCATTATTTGTCGTTTTGGAGTCGATATTCAATAGCAATAGTTGTTAAGAGAAGCACCTTTGATGCGCCAAAACGGGAGGCTGATCGCCACCCGAATCTCGTGCAAAGGAGCTCGTTCAACGTCCACGTCTTTCCTCACTTGAGGCGAAATCGAAGAGAGTCAAAGGCTGCAAGTACTCTGCAAATAGCCGATGGACTGCCAAGACGATGCCTTCATCTTGGTTGAACAAAGCCTTGAAAGAGCGAAGGACTTGCTGAGTAGGAAATAAGCAAATGACGCGTACGTTTATGCACTGACTATCTTTGCTCTGGTCCATGACTCAGCTGTGCGATTTCCAGACAGATATCGAGGAAGCTAAGCGACTTTTATCGGAAAGGACGCAGGGCAATGAAGCTCCTCAGAAACGAGCGGAAGCTCTGCGACAAAGGGCTTCGAAGCTTCTCTATAAGGCGCAGCGAAGTAGTGATGATATCAGCGGTTTGAAGTATCTCTCTCTAATATTGTTGGGTCGCGTATCCGCCTGCCCGCCGGAAGGACCCGCTCCTTGGAGGGAGGGGGGGCGGGGAGATGGTCTCCTGTTGCTTCCATTCGAGGGAGGTGACACTTGGAGTTTGCTTCCTACTTTCTGTTGTCTCCCAATGCCGCCAAATGTATGACTGATACTTAAATCGGCGGGTGGTTTTCCCACACCGCCGAAATTGAAAAGTAGCTTAGACTGGCTTTATGAGTGGCACACTATTAGAAATAAAGCTGTGGCGCGCATCCGCCTTGGCGAACAGCATGCGATTTACTTGCGGACGAATGAACGGGCAGAGTTTGCAAACACGTTCCGTTTGAAAAAAAATGGGAAAAGGAGGTTTGCACGTCCGAGGGAGAACAATCCTGAGTATTATTTGAAAGTTTTCCTTGTTGTAATAGGGATCCACCGCAGGGTCAGGTATGGGCTCACGAAAAATGCACAGTCAGGGCACGTCCTGCCGTTTATGAAATATGTTGCAAAATACGACCCCCCCCCTACCAAAAACTTCCTCTTCTGGTAGACCGCCTCCCCTCCCATCCTACTTGCTACCTCTCGACAATTACTGAATTTCTTACGACTCGCCTGCCACTCACGGATTTTTTTCTGTAATTCTCCAATTTTTCCACATTTCCTCCAAAAGTGTCGAAGGAGAGGAAGGGGATATATAGCGCACTGACAAGTAAAAACTGAAGGGTCACTTCTACGCCGGAACGCCAAATTATTTTCGGCACGGCGTCCATTTCCAACTACGAAAACCGAAAGAGAAATCGCCCTAATTCGTGTATTATTATTCATATGGAGCTGTATGAAGTGTTGATGGGTGGACAAATGAATGGCCGAATTTTTACTCGGATTTTATTCACAATTACCTCTGCATTGTGAATAGCGAATCACAAGCGGTCTGACCGGAATTTTTGAACAGATTCGTCAGCCTAACGTATCGTTCTTTAGTATGCTGGATTTTTTTTTCTCAAAACACAAGCTGAAGGATATATTTTTAGTGTTGACGAAGGATGCTTCTGATGTGCGGCTCGACGACTACCAACGAACGTTGGATGAGTTGAATTCCCGCTTAGAACAGGTCACCAAAGACATACATGCTAGTACAGAATTCTTCGCTAGTTGCGATGTTTAAGCCACTGCCCTCACTCATACGTTTCTCGTTATACTGCCACTTTGTTACGAGACCCTTGTAGGGTTCTGCCTTTCCATGTCTTCCTTCTCAACACAAGCTTTGTTTGAATATTGTTGTCCCATAAAGATTTATCTGATTAAAAACTGTTCTATTTTGTGTGTTTTAATGTGTTGTTCATACGATTTGGTTAAACTCGTCACACTGCTGTTTTGGTCAACTGGCTTTCGTTTTTGATATTTCTCTTCTCTCTCCATTGTGGTTCTCTCATACGTATGCTTTCTTATGCTCTGATACTTTTCACATGCGATTCTCTGATTCTCTCTTCCAGATTGGTGCTTTTCCAGATTTACTGACACTGCTCTACCAGCTCTGTGCTTTGATCTTTCCTATTTAGTTGCTATGATCGTAGTAGGCCATCATTTTCAAGTGCAATTATAAATAAATTTGTTCACTGTCTTGTCTTTCTATGTTCTACATGGTACGTAACCAGTCTGTCTCCATTTTCTAAGATGAACTATCAGGTTTTGTGAGCATTCCCAGAAGAAGTAGTCAAAATGACACCAAATAATTTAATATAAGTCCGGCACTTGTTTTCCAAACTTTATTTCAGCATCATATGCGTGAGGAAGGATGAGTTGATGCAATAATAGCCATAACTCGGGGGTGAGGGCGTGGTTTCGCCGTTTCATTTGAACACGGTATAGCATGCGTTTTTCGTGCCATCTTTCCATTTGAGACAACGATATCCTGTCTTGGCTGGACAAGGACTAATTTCGTTCTGTGTAACACTATTAGAAGCGCAGCGAACATCACGTCCCAGCTGAGTGTGCAGCCACGCACACTTCGTCTGGATATGAAGTATACTTCTGTTACTCCCTTAGCTGTTCTCTCACTTTTGAAAATGAAGGCTAACCGCTGCTAATAAGCGTGCTGCTAAAATGAAAACAACAAAGTCTGAGTTCAATACTCAGTGTCTGCTTTGCATTGCTCCAAGTGAACTGTGCTTCACACTTCGTCAAATTCGAAGCTCTCGCAAAGGAGCAGCACGCTCTGAGACATTACTGTTTTCGGATTGACTTGTACTAACGTGCAAGTTGCCAATTTACTGTTGGAGTTAAACACCCAAAGGACGATGTGACAATTCTTGAACAATTCGGACTGACAAGTCGAACTACTTTGTCATACGCGATCGGCTGCACTGTACCACTGTTCACCTCATCGCTCATTCGCGACTTTTTTTTGTGTCATTGAGATTACCAGTCGGCTCGCCGGCTAACGCCGGCGCGCCTCCTTCTGATACGGCCCGGCTGCGCCGGGCGGCGCGGCTTCGCCGCGCGTATTTTCTTTCACATATTTCTAGACTCAACTGATATCCGCTTTGTGTCTGTTTACTCCCACTTTTGTTTAACCAGGTGTAACTGAAGTGACTTAGTTATATTACAGATCTTCGTCTGACTACCCGCCACACACACCTCGGAGCAGCCCCGCCCCACAAAGCTTAGTGGCACCTACAGTCATTCACCGGCGACGTCCTCTGAGCTTGACCTTAATCCACGTTTATTTCTCCACGGTCTTTGAAGTAGCTCTGGGACAGTAAATTTAGAAAATTTATCGTCTAGGAGACTCCGCCCTTCGAGCTGGCCTCACGCCCAAACAAAAAATGTATACCCACATTCCTCAAAATCGCGACCCCATTGCATGACCGAAATATCAACTTATATAATCCGGTCTTTCGAGAGTGCTCTGCGAACCGTTTTACAGCACACTTTTTTGCCTGGCTCCGCACGACCCACCTCGGAGCAAGCTCCGCCCACAATGTTTTTGCCCTGCAGTCCTCACCGGCAATCCTCTACTGACCTTAGTCCACTTTTTTTCCGGTGTTTGGGACGTCGCTCCGGAACCGAGCCTACTAAACTTTGTAAAAATGAAATACCTTTGCAGAATGTAGGGGCAAATCTCGCGCTCCCACTGTGGGCGGCGTCTCAACACACTTGGGAGCATAGCTATATTCGCCAGATTATATTAGATTCTACACGGAGTTTTTTTGCGACTTGCCAAACAGCTCCGCCGAACCGGTTACTGGGAGTTTTGCGAGAAGACGGCGCGCATTGTAGGATGTGGCTGGCCACAGTTTAGTTCTGGCGACTCGCTTACGTAACCTTGTTTGCGCTTCCCCCCCCGCCGATCTTAGAAGCTGGTCTCCGGAAGCGAAGTGTGCTGAACATTTTTCTGGCGTAACCCCAAACTTTCGGCGCAGTGCCCGCCACTGATTGGGCGAGGCTTCTCATAGGTCAAGATGTAGCTTTTATTTCTGTGTCCCAGGCGCCTCGACCGCGATACCCACCTGTGATCGCGACCTCTTCCAAGTCGGTCGTTCAGGGTCGAACCGAGGGGGATTTCCGGTTCACGCACACCACACACTCACAAAACAAACTTACAACACAAGCAAGCCAAACAAAGAACGAACAACAAGCAGAGCGAAGCGTAATTATATATATATGGGGTGATGATGTTGCCCACTACCTTAAAGACAGGCTATGCGATTGTCAGTCCTCCGCAGTGGAAATCAAAAGTGAAAAAGTGGAAAGAAACGGCCGAAATCGCATACCAAGGCCTTCCGGCGTGCCAAGTTTTCTGGACCACGCCAGAAGATCGGTACGGTGGCGCAGTGCATCTCTTGACTGACAGCTAGTTCTTTCCCCTCTTCCAGCACGAAGAAATTGGAAAACAAGCAGGTAGTAAAGTTTGTAGTGAAAAGTAGCTTTGGGAACCTGTGATGGAAGATACTTTCGATTACCGCAAGCCAGCGGCTTGTTGAACCAATAAAATTTCATTATCAAACGAGGGAAGGAACGCCTCCTACCATGTGTTGAAGGGAGAGCGAAATGGAAGAGGGGTGAGAGAAGGAAGGGAGCAAAAGAGTGAGGGGGAAGGAAAATGAAAGAGGGAAGGCTTCGCAGTTGACAAGTATCTTGATACGGAGACGACAGATCGGTCCCTCAAATCCCTCCCTCACTCGTACCTACACTTCATCTCCTAGAGATGGTGAACCCGTGACTGCGTACTTTATTTGAAAGTGGCGTTTTGAAGGAATATTGCAGTTTCAGAACAGTTTGACTTTGTCCATTACACAGGATAACACTTGTACCTGATTGAAATATCTCCTACGAACAACGCATCCTACGCCATGTTCAAGTATGCAGCCATGTCCACTCTATCACTGGGATGTGGAGTGTACATACAGAACCACTGCATATCTCGTTCCTCGTGGGCGAGAAATTTTGATGGTACCGTGTATGCCTTCAACTTGAGAGAGCCACAACCCTTTCGCTACTCGCGAATCAGACTTTATGGGTAAGAAATGAGAAGAATCCATTGCTAAGAACTGGTTGAGCGCGGGGTCAGTCTCCAAGTCTTAGCCGTTTGCCTTTGTCATGTGTGCTACCAACACTGTCAGACACGTTTAAAAACACATTGATCCGTAGGAGAGAATATATGGGCTTGAATATGGAAGTGCGGGTGGTAAATGGCCTGTTGATGAAGAAAATAACAGAAGAAGCTGTCGAAAACGCGCTGAATCTCGTTCAAGAGACCAGGCATCATAGGGACGAAAGAGGCTAGAGCATGGAGGGAAGGGAGCGTCTGGAATGTGGCGACGGCCGGTCCAGTCGGGTGGTTTAGTGAGTAACGAGTCTTGACCGTAACCGCGTAAGTACTGGCCTTCTTCGAGACAGCGATAATGTCCACTAAAAAATCCTCACCGAGAGATTCGAACCGAATACAGAGAATAACAATATGAATGAATTCATAACAACTAACAAAAACTTTGAAATGCCAGACTTTACTGCCCCAGTCATCCGAAATCAGGCCAGTTCCTGACCGACTTTTTCTCCGTGGGCAGAATTTGCTGAAAACTTGGCTCCAGGGTAGTTTGACCCGCTGAACACGAATATCGCATCCGCTTGACCCGAAACCTCCTGGCGCCCGCGCCAAAATACTCGAAATCACCAAATTCGCTGAAAACTTGCTCCCAGGGGTAGTTTGACCCCTGAACACGAATATCACATCCGCTCGGCCGAAACCTCCTGGCGCCCGCGCCACGGGCGCCGGCGCCAAAATACTCTGAATCACTAAACTCGCTGAAAACTTGTCAACTAGGGTAAATTGACCATGTGAACACGAATTTCACATTTATCTTGCATGAGAAATAGTATTCGCTCTTATTTGTGGCCCTAAAGAGGGCCGTTGGGTTAGTATTAATCAATTCTCGGATTTGGTAGAAGGCAGCCTAGCACGGATATAAGTGTGCGACATGTTCGAAGAAGTTGAAGATGATTTCACTGGGTTTTCCAAATTCTCGACGCCATAGGAACTCTTTGATGTAGTGAGAGTACCGCTTGGTGTTCAATCCGAACTTCTTCTTGGGAATCATCTTGAACTTCTGCCACAAGGATTCGATGTTTTGGGTGTGTGCCCAGTTAGAGGATCGACGAAATGGAGCATGTGGTTAACCGTCAGGTGCCTGTAGCCGGCTGGCAGTCGCGACAGCTGTGAGTACGCTCTCCATGAGTCGGACATAATTGTAGTTTCCGATCGAATAAACTTAAAGATGATGTTCGTGAGTGTGGCTGTATCGCGACGTTTCACAAGCACCATGAAACACTCCCTCACTCAATGCCACCGAACAGCCATTCCTTCCTACGCACAAGTCTGCCGCGGTTGTACTTCCTTCGTGTGACATTCGTTTCGTCAATCTCTACAGTGACTCCGGGCCCGCCAATAATGGGAGGGTTTTCCTTGTAATACTTGGAACAAATTCTTCCGTAAATACTGCTCCCAGTGGGTTAACATCTTCCGACTGACTCCGAGCTCGAAAGACTTCGTTCTGAAAGAGCCGAAGTTCACGCAGCCAGAAGTGATTGAGAAGATGGTGACCTCGGGAAGTTTAGAATTGGCGAAAAACTTCTTGTGTCTGAAGGAGAGAGACGGCTTCGTTCCGC